TTTATCTTGAAAAATTTTCATGTATACAGGATGTTGTGAGTCACGGCATCGTTTTAATCATATTTTTCAGCAAAAATTAAAATTACGTACTTTATGATATGAAAGGGGCGTAATCAGGTACAGTTCTTGTTGAGTCTACGCAAAATCTGTCCATATCACTAATCTGCTTAAGTTAGCAAAAACGCAGTATACACGAGATAAAATTAATGCAGATATAGTACATTGCAACAAGTTGCAGAAAACCAAAAGAAAAACAGAACTTAAGGCACAAGGTACAAACAATTTGTGAATGTATAGTAAATAGAATTTTTTGATTTGTCACTTTTGACACTTGACATAAAACATGTGATCATCAAGATTGGAGATTTTTGATGTTTTTGACGTTCAGAAACATTAAGTACGTTAAGTATTAAAAAAATGAGCAGAATGAACCGATTAAGTTAAAATTACTCGTAGAAAGCCGTAAAACCACAACTCACAAACTAGAAAATAAAAAGATACCGTTGGGTAAACATCTAGGAAGCGGTGCGTGGCTACCGTAGAAACGAGTGGAAACGAGCGGCGGCGGCGGGCGAAACAACAAAAGCGAACAACTAAGAAACTTAAGGCGCCGTCACATAATCTCTTTAAACGCCATCGTCTTAAGGTCGATATTCGTAGTTAACTCCGTACAGAGTGATTCGTCGTCACGGCACCGGGCGATCACGGCGCGCGTCTCGTTCCCACGGTTTGGACTCTTGCACTTTCTACGGGTAAACGTGCTCATCTTCCGTGCCTTCGCCCCGTCCTTGTCTCGCCGGCAAACGATAGACAAGGACGCGGTGATTCGGATCCGTTAACTTTTGCAATTCGCTTATATTGATTTTATTAGCATTTTCTTGGGAACCAATTCGTTCGAGATCAACGGCGGCGCAGGAGGTTTATCTACTTTGCGGTGCTACTACTTACTTACTACTATAGCTTCCGTGGCGCTAGACTCGCCTAATAAGATCGATAATAATAACGCGACCGTGAGATAGATACAAGGAAGTTCATTTCCTTTTGTTCAAAAAACGATTTCAAGTTTATATCTTTATTTACTACTTGACGTCAAATTAACAACTGTCAAATTTGACGTTTAAACATCAACTGTCAAATTTGACGTTTATGTCAAAATTTTAGAATTAATTTAATTTTTTTGTTGTTGTGGTTAGATTTTGAGTCGGTTATGGTCAAGGAGCACAAATTTTCACTCGGTAAAGTATCGGCTCTCGGCTAATAATCGAGATGCTCGGCATAGCTGGGTCGTTTCTCACGGTCGGCGTCTTGAGAAACTCTTTAAAGGAGTCGAAACGCGCGGGGCGGAAATCGGCGGGTTCGTTTTTCGTCTGTTTGCCCATCCTCAATTAATGACAAAATGAAAAATTAAAACTAAATGCTTTGTTTTAATTAATTACGTTGTAATCGTGTTTTAATCATGTTGCAATCATGTTTGAATCGGTATCAATTAAGTGGAATTGTGCCAAAGACTCGCAGATCCCCTTAATTTTAGAAACAGAAACGGTGCGTATCCGATCGATTTCAACACTCCAAACCGCACAAAATTGAGGTTTACGATTTAGAATTTGCGTTTGCCGACCGCCCGCCGTTTTCAATTTAGATTCCCCGATTTAGATTTCCAGACCGATCTAAATAACGAAAACGTTTCCTAAACTGCTTGTATTTAAGACTTTTTTTTTTAATTTGACTAAAATTGTGGAAAAACATTTTACACTAGAACTGTTAGTAACATTATCACTAGAACTAACTAGAAGTAACACTAGACTTAGAACTAGAAACATTCGGGTTTAGCCCCACGTCTCTCAAGACGGCTAAACCAGAATGATTCTAGATGTAGGTCTAGCGTTACTTCTAGTGATAGTGTTAGTACAAAACTAGAACTAACACTAAACCTATAACTAGAAAAATTTGGGTTTAGCCGCAAGTCTCTCAAGACGGCTAAACCCGAATGATTCTAGTCTTCACTCCGTCTTGATCAACAGTGTTAGTTCTAGTATTGCATTAGCACTATCACTAGAACTAACACAAGACCTAGAACTAGAATCATTCGGGTTTAGCCGTCTTGAGAGACTTGCGGCTAAACCCGAATGTTTCTAGTTCTCGGTCTAGTGTTAGTTCTAATATTGCATTAGCACTATCACTAACACAAGACCTAGAACCAGAAACATTCGGGTTTAGCCGTCTTGATCAACAGTGTTAGTTCTAGTATTGCATTAGTACTATCACTAGAACTAACACAAGACCAAGAACTAGAAACATTCGGGTTTAAGCCCCACGTCTCTCAAGACGGCTAAACCCGAATGATTCTAATCTTCACTCCGTCTTAATCAACAGTGTTAGTTCTAGTATTGCATTAGCACTATCACTAGAACTAACACAACACCTAGAACTAGAATCATTCGGGTTTAGCCGTCTTGAGAGACTTGCGGCTAAACCCGAATGTTTCTAGTTGTAGGTCTTGTGTTAGTTCTAGTTTTGCACTAACACTATTACTAGAAGTAATACTAGACCTAAAACTAGAATCATTCGGGTTTAGCCGTCTTGAGAGACATGGGGCTAAACCCGAATGTTTCTAGTTCTAGGTCTAGTGTTAGTTCTAGTGATAGTGCTAATGCAATACTAGAACTAACACTGTTAATCAAAACGGCTAAACCCGAATGATTCTGGTTCTACGTCTTGTCTTAGTGCTAATGCAATATTAGAACTAACACTAGACCGAGAACTAGAAACATTCAGATTTAGCCGCACGTCTTTCAAGACGGCTAAACCCGAATGATTCTAGTTCTTAGGTCTTGTATTAGTTCTAGTGATAGTGTAAAACTAGAACTAACACTAAACTTAGTACTAGAAAGTTTCGGATTTAGCATAATCGCATGGTTTAACCCGAAAGTTTCTAGTTCTAGTGATAGTGCTATTATTACTTCTAGTTTTAGTTTAATTAACACCGATCGTAAAAGCCTTCGTTTTTATATCTTATGAAACTCATTTTTGATTTAATTTAATGCCAAACTTAGCTTAACTCACGATTAACAACAAGATTAGAATTTATTCGCTTACAATCATGATTTCATAACTTTTAGTTTTGATACGTTGAATTAGAACGAATCCGGAGTAAACATTCCATTAATGGAAGGTTAAGCATTGATTAGCACGATCTTTAGGTTTTATAAGACTCACCTAAACTGAATATGATGCAACCTCAGGAATTATTAAATAAGTTACTCAATAACGCGTTTCGTTGATTAACTTTTTGATTTAACCTCAGCTTAAATAGAATCTCACGCACGATTAGTATTCATTAACTTCTAATTATGATTTGTTAACATTAATTTTTGATTGAAAATGACATTAATGTTATTTTAGAAAAAAAATTTTGTTCGATTAGCGATCGGCTTAAGTTAACGTGACGCTAATCGAGCTTTATAAAATTGTCTCCTAATTGAGGTGATATTATTTATCAATTAATATTCTTTGAAGCCAACTTTTAATATATTGCCACTTTATCATAATATGGAACATCCGATTAACGTTAGGTTAAGCATTGATTAGCACTATATTTACATGGATATGACGCAAACGCAAATATTATGGTAATTATTTGTTTAGCGAACTAATTATTAACACCGGCTAAATATGGTGCAACCTCAGGAGTTACTATATAAACTACACAATAACGCGTTTCGTTGATTAACTTTTTGATTTAACCTCAACTTAAATAGAGTCTAACGCACGATTAACATCATGATTAGTATTCATTAATTTCTAATCATGATTTATTAACATTAATTTTTGATTGAAGATGACATTAACGTTATTTTAGAAAAAAAAATTTGTTCGATTAGCGATCGGTTTAAGTTAACGTGACGCTAATCGAGCTTTATAAAATTGTCTCCTAATTGAGGTGATATTATTTATCAATTAATGTTCTTTGAAGCCAACTTTTAATATATTGCCACTTTATCTTAAACTTATCTTAACTCACGATTAACAACAAGATTAGAATTTATTAGCTTACAATCATGATTTCATAACTTTTAGTTTCGATACGTTGAATTAGAACGAACCCGGAATAAACATTCCATTAATGGAAGGTTAAGCATTGATTAGCACAATCTTTAGGTTTTATAAAACTCACTTAAACTGAATATGATGCAACCTCAGGAGTTATTAAATAAACTATTAATCAACAACACGTTTGGTTGATGAACTTTTTAATTTGATTTGATGAACGCCAGCTTAAATAGAGCCACAATTAACATCACGATTAGTATTCATTAACTTCTAATCACGATTTGTTAACATTAATTTTTGATTAAATATGACATTAACGTTATTTTAGAAAAAAATTTTTGTATCTTTGTAACTTTATCATAATATTGAACAATCGATTAACGTTAGGTTAAGCGTTGATTAGCACTATATTTGATATGATGAATATGACGCAAACGCAAATATTACGGTAATTTTACATTTTAATACATTTTGGGGGAATTTAGATGAATTTTTGGTGTGTTCCATACCAAAAATTTTCGAATTCGAATCACGTTTTATTTTATATTCCGACATTAATTGCGCGCGGTTCTAGATACGTGATTTACATGACGAAAGGACTTTGCCCCGTCGTTTCGTCGTGTGAAACGGACCAATCGTTTGGTTCTCACAGCTCAGTTTTCGTCAATTACCGATGACACGAGATCAAAATCTCCAGTGTTAAAATAAAAATTATTTAAAAAAAAATTAAATCGATGCGTTACGCTTAAGTTGTAGGGGAAATCGTTAATGTTTGTAATTTGTAACGATTAAGTTGGTTTAATTGATTTAACAAGTTGATGAAGAAAAAATTGGTTGATTTAAATCATTATATAATTTAGAGAAAGTTATATAAATGAAGTTTCACCCTAAATGAAGTTATAATAAGAGTTTAAATAAAATCGTAAAGATAAGTTAAAAGATGTACGAACCTAATCCCATGCGTTTCTTAATCTTCTTAAGAACCTTCATTTTTCCTTTTAATGGTGAGAAAATAGTACCGCTGTTATTATCGCTTTTAGTTTTCTCCTGACAGCGACAATCAGCCCCGTTTTCCTTCACCCCCATCAATAAAAAACCAAAAACGTTTTTCAAACAATTTTCCCTTAGTACGTAAATAAAATCGCACGCCCCAAAAATCGCTTTCCCTCTCTGAAAATCGATTTTCAGCAACCTCTTCTTCCAAAATAAACCAACACTTTTAATCAAAAATATCTAAATCCATCGACAACCGATTCATTAAATGTTAATCGGCGTTCTGTTTTTCTTGAATTAAAGACTAGACAACGGGGGAAAAACGACGTCGACGGCGACGAAAATGTCGTTTTTCAGCGCGATTTCGAAACGGTGCGTTGCGACGTTTTGAAGTGAACTGAGGGCCGGCGCGTCGTCGGCGTCGTTTTAAACGGGGGCTCATGGGGTTTGGTGGGGATCGTGGTCCAGGTGAGCCACGAGTCTCTGGCCAATCGGGGACCGCGCCGGCGCCTGCTGCTGCTGCTGTGGGGGTACACAGCCGGCATCGAACAGATGCGGCTCGCGCGCCCCGATGTCTGTCGCCGCCGCGACTTTTCTACCTTTATCTTCTTCTTCTTGTTCTTCTTTTCCGGCACCCCCCTCATATATGAAGTGTTTACTTTGATGAGAAGGTGTAAACTCTAATAAATGTTAGAGAGAGCTTTTTGGAAATGATTAAGTTCCAAAATATATTTCACAAAAATAAGAATTAAAGAGACCTGATGATGGGAGTAATTTCCGAAACGTGTGGCCACAATCTGCAAAAACTTTATGAATAGATAAAAAGCAACTAAACGGATTAGTATAATTTATACCTAAAAAACAAAAGTCCCTCGGGAAAGGTATTTGGAGGCTGATGCCACTTTTGACAACCCCTACAAAAACCCTTACAACACCAACTTTTTTGTGCCATACGATTTTACATTACGCTTAGGGTCTCCAGTGACCCCATGATATTATAAAGGTACTACAACCTATCGGTTGGTCCACAAAAAATCACTAAAGAACCAAGCTTTCAGACTATCATAGAAACGACTCCTCTAGAACTAACCTTATTCTCATCCAGACAAAACGACACAGTAGTAAACCAACTAGTGCCATGTAATAAAATAATAGTAGTAGCAAAATGAAGAAAAACTGCCCTGAGTAAAATGTTAACATACCTTCATGACCTCTAATCCTAATCAAGAATGTTGATTTTATTCTTAAACTTGTTCTGAGCTCGATATAACAGTATCTTAAAAAAGGTGTTCCAGATCTGGATTAAGTTGAACTTTTGTAACTGTCCTTGCAATCCATAGCCTTTATCATGAAGAGTAAAGAGACTCTGCTCAACTTAAGCTTTCATCTTTTAATCACCACGTTTGTCGTACTTGTCAGAGGCGATGTTGCCTTCCCGACAAACTTCCTTAGCTGAAAAGACCAATCGAAGTGGAAACAAAAATATAATCTGTTATGTTTGTCGAACGGTGTTTTCTGAACCCTGTCTTTTTGAGACACCAAGTCTTTTGCATGCCAAATCGTTCCCAAGCGCGGACTTTGCACAAATCTGGAAAAGGCTTTGCTTTTGACGAAGTGAAACAGTTTGACGAATGCGCAACAGTTTGCGTCGAAGACAAAATGGGATTCATTCAAAGTAGTTCTGCGAATGTGCAATTCTACACAGGATGTAGCGTTCTCCGTTTGTTTGCCGTTTTTGAACTATCTGGTTCTCATCAACACGATGAAGAAGTCTTGGAACGAAGGTTTTGCAGAGCGATGTTGCTTAAAGCATTTTTAATTTTCTCAACCAGATTTCATTTTCAGAGAGCATCGTTCAACAAACATAACAGATAATATTTTTGTTTCGCTTATTTCGACTTCGAGTAGTCTTTTCAGATAAGGAAGTTCGTCAGATGTGGTGATTAAAAGATGAAAGCTTACTTTGAGGAAAATTCGTAACTCTACAAAACTCAGATCTCTTCTCACTTTGAAACTCAGAGTCATTAGAATTACTACCAGATTAAGGTCCAGATTGTTTATTATCACTCTTGTTTCGTGTTTGGACGGATGATTTTTTGAACCCAATTTTGCATCAACCTTGCACACATATTGGCCGGAACGTAGTCAATTTCCAACCCAACCCAACTCAACCCCATGATATTATAAAGGTACTACAACGTATGGGTTGATCTACAAAAAATCACTAAAGAATCAAGCTTTCAGACTATCATAGAAACGACTTTTCTAGAACTAACCTTCTTCTCATCCAAACAAAACGACACAGTGGTAAACTAATTAGTGCCATGGAAAATAATAGTACTAGCAAAATGAAGAAAAACTGCCCTGAGTAAAATGATAGTAAAGATGACGATCGACTCATTGGAGAAATCATGAATGTTACCATACCTTCATGGCCTCTAATCCTAATCAAGAATGTTAATTTTGTAATACAGGGTGTTTTATGAGGAATGGTACATAGGTTAATATGTTATAGATTTGTTCATTTTAAGCAGAAAAGTTCCTAAAAACATGAGCTCAATTCTTAAAGGTAACTGAGATACAGTGCATAAATGCATAAACTGATTTATTTAAATGTGTACATAAAATATTGAAATTCGGACTTTAAAGGAAGGGTTCGAATATCCCATCGCTTAATTCGATGTACTTGGCTGATCTTTTGAAGCAAGAGTATGTTGGTTCTAGGTGTTGTACTGGTTGAACATGGATACAAGTCATGAGTACGCAATGTTCTCCATACTTTTACATGAGGAACACCAAGTCGAGCAGAAAGTCTTCTTGTACTGGTAGATGGCCTGCATTCTGCCGACTGAAGAACTGATTCAATTTCATTCTGAGTTTGCACACCTGCACATTCAGAATGAAAACTTGTATTTGGAACAGAACTGGTTTCATGCAATCTGTTGAATGTTCGTGTAAATGCTCTTGAATTTGGTAGCACTCGGTTAGGAAACCGTCTCATATAGTCCAGCTTCCATTGCAGAAACCGTAACAGCATATTCTGCATGAGTCAATATGTGTGGCATTATCAACAACTTAGTCAACACATCAACCAAATAATGTTAAATGTCAAGCATTGACAAGTGAATGTTTCACAGCAGCCGTGCGTGATATCAATTTATGCATTAACTGGCTGTATCTCAGTTACTTTTGAGAATTGATCACATTTTTTTCGGAACTTTTCTGCTTAAAATGAACAAATCTATAACATATTAACGTATGTACTATTCCTCATGAAACACTCTGTATAACAGTAACGATATAACAGTATCATAAAAAAAGCTGTTCCAGATCTAGATGAAGTTAGACTTTTGTAACTGTCCTTGTAATCCATAGCCTTTATCATGAACAGTAAAGAGACTCTGCTCAAAGTACGCATTCATCTTTTAATCACCACGTTTGTCTTACGGTTGTCAGAGGCGATGTTGCCTTCCTGACGAACTTCCTTAGCTGAAGAGACCAATCGAAGTCGAAACAAAAATATAATCTATTATATTTGTCGAACGATGCTTTCTGAACGCTGTCTTTCTGATTGTGAGACACCAAGTCTTTTGCTTGCCAAATCGTTCCCAAGTGCGGACAAATCGGGAAAAGGCTTTGCTTTTGACGAAGTGAAACAGTTTGGCGTCGAAGACAAAATGGCATTCATTCAAAGTAGTTCTGTGAATGTGCAATTCTACACAGGATATAGCGTTCTCCGTTTGTTTGCCGTTTTCGAACTATTTGGTTCTCATCAGCACGACGAAGAAGTGGTGGAACGAAGGTTTTGCAGAGCGATGTTGCTAAAAGAATTTTTCATTTTCTCAACCAGATTTGTGCAAAGTTGGTGTCTTAGAAAGACAGTGTTCAGAGAGCATCGTTCGACAAACATAACAGATTATACATATAGTAGAAACCACGAGAGCTGGCAGTAAGTCATTGCTTAAAAATGGTATGAATCAAGATATGGACGTACTACTTAGATTATTTCACCACATACATTTAAATATAGGTTATGTTAGTAATGGAGGTTATATGTCAAACATTGTCAAAGATAGTTGAGGTTAACCAGTGAAAAAACATTAATATTAATTTATAATAAAGTTTATGTAATTATTAATTCATGTAACAAATAGTTTTAAAGGTTGTTTACAGGTCGCAAGTAAGTTTTATTTAAACTGTGGTTCAACGCTCACAAGACGTTTCAATCTAAGGTTAGGATTACGGTAGGTACATCCGTTAGAAGAACAGACGTACTTTTTCGACGTGGCTATTTGAATTGTACAGCAGACATATTAAACTAATGCTGTCTCTTTCTAACACACATTATTCTTTAGCAGTTTGTGAATTTTAATGTACTACGTAAGGCATTTGTAAGAGCGGAAAACGATGATTTACTGCCATCTCTCGTGGTTTCTACTATATTTTTGTTTCGATTTCGTTTGGTCTCTTCAGCTGAGAAAGCTCGTCAGGAAGTCAACATCGCCTCTGATAACCTTAGCACAAACGTGGTGATTAAAAGATGAAAGCTTACTTTGAGCAAAACTCCACAAAACTCAGATCTCTTTTGACTTTGAAATTTAATTTTTTGTCTTTTGAGGGATGTTGGATCTCAGAGTCATTAGAATTACTGCCAGATTGTTTATTGCCACTCTTGTTTCGTATTTGCAGCGAATGATTCCTTGAACACAATTTTGCATCAACCTTGCACACATATTGGTCGGAACGTAGTCAATTTCGCGTTCGATATTATCCTGGAACTCTTTTAAAGGTTGTTAATTTGTTTGAAAAGGCAACGAATTAACGTACAAGTAAAGTAAAGATTACGCGGTTATCGAACTTCTTCTTCAATAGATCAATTAGTTAATCATATATGTGGCATGAAGCACCATCTTGTTGAAACCATATATTACTGATATTAAATTCATGCAAAAATAGTGTTTTAACATGACGAAAAATATGATCCAATCACACCTAAAGCATCAAATCCATCACTTTTTGTGGTTGTAATGAAGTTTCTTGAAGCACATTGTTGTCCAATAATGTATATTGTGCTTATTAACAAAGCCATTAAGCCAAAAATCAGCTTTATCGCTGAAGATGTTTTTTTGTTAAAAACCACAATTTTCTTTAAACTTCAGGGGGATTTCTTCAAGGATCTTGAAGGTTCTTCAGTTAATTTGTTCATTATTGTCTTAATTTTAATTGTAGAACAGATATCTGCAGGATGGGCTATTGCGTTTTTGACAGTAAACCATTAATATCTATATTTAGATTGTCTCAAATTTCACAAATTAGTCGGTGTCCAAATATGTCATATCCTGAATCTTGGAACTGGGATAAAGATGGGGGCTCTTCTTGACAGAAA